ATATGCATTCTCTAAGACTATTTTTGGATTAATGGAACACAACAGAGCGGAGCAGAATGAAATATAACAGAGCAAAATAGAAAAGAGCAGAATGGAATACAAATCTCATTTCATTGTTTGGTTATTTGATTTAAAATGTCTCATCCATCTCATATACCACAAATTGAATGAAAAAAAAAAAAAAAGAGAAATTAAATGAAATACATTCTATCATGTTCCGCTCTATTTCATCCTTTTTTTACCAATCCAAACAATAAAATATAATATTATTTTATTTCATTTCAATCCGTTGTGTTTCATCAATCCAAATATAACCAAAGTGGCACTCCACCTAAGCTGTATCCTTTAAAATTTCAAAAAGTATTTTACAAAAGAGAAATGTTAAACCAAAGAGGAGGGAGTGCATAAAAAATGGTCGTGTATAGAATCCAAATTTATAAAATGCAACCGGGCTGGGCTATGTATTGGGCTTATTACATTTTCTTACAAGAAAAGCCCAACCACGAAACCCTAATTCCCAAAACATTAAAACACAGCAAATCACCTCACAACTTCATTTTCACGGCGCACAACTTCATCTTCCAGATCCGATCCACGCGCCGCCACCATGGTAAACCTTCTCCACCGCTCTAATCTCCATCGCTTTTTCTACGTAATCGACAACCTCACAACGCTAAACCTTGTGCTTGTTGTTAATCTGTAGGTTAACGTTCCGAAGACCAAGAAGACCTACTGCAAGAACAAGGAATGCAAGAAGCACACACTCCACAAGGTTACCCAATACAAGAAGGGTAAGGACAGTATCGCCGCTCAAGGAAAGCGTCGTTACGATCGGAAACAGTCCGGTTATGGTGGTCAGACTAAGCCTGTCTTCCACAAGAAGGTAACAATTACATCGTTACCCTTTTTGTTTTATTTGTATCATTTTTGTAAATTTGATTTTTTTTGAATGTTTGATTTTGATTTGATATAGGCTAAAACCACTAAGAAGATTGTTCTGAGGTTGCAATGCCAGGGTTGCAAACATGTTTCTCAACATGCCATCAAGGTTAGTTTTTATTTAGTTTAAGGAAAGAAAGAACAGGGACATTATTTTGATTTTGTTGTTTGATGTGCTTGTTTGTAGTTATTTATGTGAGTGTGTTTATTGTTGCGCAGAGGTGCAAGCATTTTGAGATTGGTGGAGACAAGAAGGGAAAAGGAACATCTCTCTTCTAGGTGGAGAATTAGGATTTGCTGTTTTAAATGTTATATTTCCTGTGTTGGAATATGTTTTGTTTTGTTGGATTATTGATTTCTGATAGATATATTTTGTTATTTGAAATGCCTATTGTGATTGACTAGTGCAAGCTATTCCTATTATCAAGTTATCAATTAGTACTTGTTTTCATATCTGGATAGGCTTTAGTTATTTATAAATCTTTCTCATTTGCTCATTCCTCTTAAGGTCATCCTTATATATGAAAATTGGGGTATCAGTAGTTACAATTTCTCTCTCGGCATCTGAAACAATTCTGTGTTGTCCCTAGGTTCTGTTTTATTGTGAGTAACCTAGCTGATTTGGGTTGGAAGGTCTTGTTAGACCCTTAGTTTCAATTGAATGTAATAGCGTGTTTGTAGCGTAAACGTAGAGTTAATGTGGAATAAATCAAGGTGTTTGTGATGACCATGATGTCTCCTTTTCCCCTTTTTTTTCAATCAAATTTTTCTGTTGAAGTTTAGCTTAAGCCTTCCAACAACACCTATTGTTGTATAGAAATGGAATCTCCATTATATTGAATTTAGATATTTCAATAATTTTGTAAAAGGAGCTTTCATATTGATTGTTTTGGTCGCTTCTGCCATTTTGCAATTATAGAGATGGAGAATTGATTTTGGGATAATTTTGAGATGTTTTGTTCATCCAAAGTAGAATTGATTCTATTTGAATTTGTAATTTTTGATTTTGAACGAGATTTTTACATTGAAAACTTTTGTTTAATTCATTTTTACATAAATGTATTTTAAACATAATTTACTATACATCTAACTAAAATCAATTAAATAAAATCAATTTACTTTACATCTAACTAAAATCAATTAAATAAAATCAATTTGCTTAGAAACAATTGTCATTACTGCAGACACTGACAGATTTTAATATAAAACAAATTTGATGACAACATTGACGTTTCATTTTGAGTATCTAATTTATACTACTATATAACTTACTAAAAGGTTAATTTTGATTTTACTATTTCCATGTGTCGAACTTGATCAAATTAGCTATAAAATAATTTACCTAGTTTCTATTGATTATCGATTTTATCATATTGGCCCTAACTAAAGTAAGACAGACAGCTTGTTTTTTGTAGAAACATTTTAAGTGTAGTTTTAGCCAAAATCAGAATAAATGGACAATATTACTAAAGAATGATTGAAGGGGCAAAAAAACTAAGAAATAAAACAAGTTTTTCTTAGGAGAGTGGGTATGACATTAATCTTCAATGTCCTAACAAGGTTACAGAATTGTGTTTCTAATACGTGTTGGTAAAATTGTCTGCCCTCTGAATGAGGGAAAATGGTGCCAACTAATGAAATTATATCCTACTCAACGACGATAATTGCCATAGTTCTGTGGATACCCTCCCATGTAAGAGTTATTGCTACCAGGTTGTTGTTTTTGCAGTGCAGCATGTCCTTGCATACGATCCTTTTCATATTGCTGCCATACGAGCTGTTCTTCAACCAACAACCTTTGCTTCTTCTCCATCTCCGACATTTGAACGTAAGACGGCGGTGCAATAGCCAACGAAGCTGCAAACGGATCTACATATCCCGAACTAGAATCATTTCCATTTCCCGACGATGCTGGTGCTGGCAATGCCAGCATTGCAGGTCTTCCAGCTGAACCAAGTGCAACACTGCTAGCACTTCCACTTCCACCATATCCCTGTCCTTGCGTTGCTGCATTCATTTCACTTTGTTTATACATACCATCCAATAACAATGTATCAAACCCTCCACCTAATGCAGGTTTCTGGTTCCCTAAGTGGCTAGTTGATTGTACAAGTGCTGTTTCCCAATCTGCTCCTTCGTCGAATGCGTGCCATGGAAGTGCTTTTGTTGCACCTTCACTTGTTAGTGGAGCTCCATCAAATAAAGCTAAGGCTAGTTTGTCCCCATGTTCTTCATTTGTCACCCTATCATCTCCTAAGTTCAACAAATCGCCTTCGGTTTGCACAACTTTTTCTTCTTTCACCTCTACCGGCTCTACCTTCACTTCTTCAACCGGTTCCTCTGGCGGCGGCGGTAGTGCCTTGACTTCAGTCACTTCTTCTTCTGGTTCCGGTTCAGGTTCAGGTTCAGGTTCAGGTTCAGGTTCCTTGGCTTCTTCAACCTCCTCTTCTGGTGCATTACCTTTCTGGCTTTGTGCTAAGAGTGACTTGTCTTTGATAAACTCTTCCATAACCTCGAGTTTCTTTGGCGTGACCTTTTCTACCTCGGGATACTCAGAAGAGCGAGCGATTCCAATACTCTTGGACCATCCATAGAAGAGGTCTAGCTCATCAAACTGTTTTCCAACACGACAGAAAATGTCGTACACCTTAACACAGTCGGCGACATCCATGTCAGGAAAACGGTCGATTAAAATGCTCAGTATTTCCGATATCTCGTAATACGATTGAAAACTCTCCTTCACAATTGGATAAAGAGCCACTATCACAATTCTATGATTCTTTGCCCCCCCTGTTGCATTGAAACAAACAGCCATGAAAATGTGTTTTAAGCAAATTGAGTGAAAAGAAATATATTTTGTCCAGTGATCACAAACCTGTCGGCCGACAAGCTAAAAAGCGTTCGATAAGCAATTGCAAATGCTGCATTTTGGAAAAAATCTGCTCTAACTTCATGTCACGCACCGGTGTAGATCTTACAACAATATCTTTATCTTTGTCCTTTTCTCTTTCTCTTTCCCTTTCATCCTCCTCTTCGTCAATACCAAACATGCCACGCTTTCCACGCCGACTTTGCATCTTATACTCAAGCCTCTCATCTAGATATAACGAATACGTGCGCACAAACGCAGAAAAGTCCCAAGAACCAGATTTTAAACTGTCACGAAAATCAGACATGTTGAGCAGGCGAGTTCCACGTCGAGTTGAGAAGAATATCTCTTGCTCATAAGCAGGATCACCCTCTGCCAAAACCCTTTGGATCAAAATAAGAGTTTTCAAACCCACCGTCCAGCTTTTAGTCTTGTTGAGACGCCTCGATAGCGTATTAACACACGCGCTAATAAACGCCCGCGAGTAACACGTTAGGCTCAAAATCTCTCTTATATGTTTCTCTTCCGCCGGATTTTCGTCGTGCCTTGTTGCCTTCACAATGGCTACATCAAGGTCAGCAAGTGAGGTGCTGCTTCCAACCTTAGCTAGTCCTATACTTGTTTGATCCTTTACTGCCCCAAGGGCTCTTCTGATTGAGCTTGGTGGCATACTTTATTTCTTTTTGCTTTCACTTTTGATAAAAAATGTTCAAAATCTTTATGATTATCTATGAAACTTGTTGTTAAAGAAATAAGAAATGTATTTGTGTAAACCTTTAGAAGGAAAAGAGAAAAAAGAAAGATAAGGGGTCAAAAGATAGATAGTTTTTTTTCTATCTGTCTTTTGTTCCAACTTTCCTTTCTTCTGTTCCTCTATTGGAAAAACATTACAACCTGAGTTAGGCATTATCCATTTTTGTAGCATGAAAACATGGGAACCATAGGAGATTTAGTGATACATATATTATCTTTTAGAAAGCATTCATTAATTATGATAGATATTCTTGGCTTTGCTATATTTGGCATGAAACAAATATTTATCTGCTATTTTTCTTATCACCTTTTGACTTTTTCAAATGTGTCCTCACCAACTTTATAAGTCTTCTAATTATGGATTAAATGAATGCAAATATCATTTCATTTTTATTTTATTTTTACAATCTCATTATACATCATAATTAATATGTGAACATCAATGGATTTTCGAGCAGACTCGCCTAATGTTTCCCTCAGAACCTGTCTTGACACCAATTTGTCCCATTTTAACAATTGACTGAGTAAAATCAAATCCGAAATGAGGTCCTAATTTTGGAGCGAAGGGAGCTAAGTATGATTCAATCACAGCCTTTGTTTCTGCATCGTCGTTAAGTCTTGCATCAGATTCTAGCACAGCAAAGCCTTTCCTTATGTTTTTCAATATGTTATCGTCGAATGTTGTTTCAGTCGTTATGTCCATGGCTAATCGGTCGTTCTCATGTCCCGTCCGAGGGCACTCTGCCTTAAGTTCTGGGAGGAAATCTGGACTAATAGCTGGGTCTGATCCACCACCAGATGGAGAAAAGTTGTATAGTCTTTTTTTCATGAAGAAACATGCTGTTGTTCCTATTGTATGTGCGGCTGAATTTATCACAAGAGTGAACCATTAATTACTATGGTTAGAAATTATCACATAATATAATGCAAGTTGCAAATACAATTATAACACTTCAGTGCAAAACTGTGTCACTCTTTTATTGTGTCAATATCAAAGCTCATTAAACAAAGAGTGGTAGATTCTATGTCAACATTTCTTAAGCCTGAAAATATGTCAAAATCTTAAATAGTGATTTGTTGGAATATTGTAAGCTTATATCACTTCAACAACCATGGTCTCATCTACTATGCATGCATGAAATATGAATGTGTTTGTCTTCGTCCTTTATAGTACCGGCATTTTTGATCTAAGGTGTATCTGGTGTCTCTATCTAGTGTCTGACACGTAATGATTACATTTAGTTAATTCATTTTTGAAATTATTACTGGTATTAACGTTTCAGTGTCGTGTTCATGTCTGTGTAAGTGTAAAAGAAAGGTAGAAAGAGTACCACTGAGAAGGACAAGGTCTTTATCTGTGAGACCCTTGTTCCTAAACTTGGTTTTGAGTTGCTGAATTGAATCACTAACATCTGGCATATCATCTGCAAGAGATTTATTAGAAACAAATCCATCTCTCCTCCCTGTAGGAACCATGTACCAAGGTCCATATACCTACAACGTGTCAAAATTCATGCAGCGGTATTAAAACTCTTGAAAAAAAAATTAAAAGTCTGTAAAGAACGTGTTATTGTCTAACTCAAAAGATTAGTCTTTGCAATCACATAAAGAAATATCCGGTTTATAGAAAAATATGATGCTTGCGTAACATCAAAAGTCTCTAGTTAACAACTTCAATGATGAAAATTCAATTCTTGAGCAAAAAATGAAATATAATGAAGTTAGGAATTAGGATAGAACCATGGAAATTGCTTCTCTTGCTGCCAAAGCCACAATATCTGCACAAGAAACCACTCCTGGACAAGATTCTTCCAATATTGCCTTAGCTTTTTCTATCACATCAAACCCTCTTAGACCTAGATGTTCGAATGCATCTCTTTCTGGCTCTGTAACATTATCTATCAGAATGGAACCATCACATCCCTGAAAAAAAAAGCATCCAAATCATGTCAAACAATGTTACTAGAACCAAAAACATGTAACTACTTAAGACAGAAACGCATACCTCAACAAAGCAGTCATGAAAATGAAGCCTAAGCAAACCAGCAGGCACGGTTGGGTCAGAAAGAGCAGCTTCTCTAACAACATCATTGACAATGAGTTCTGCTAGAAAACATGTGTCTGAGTAGAAATCCATTTTAAGCTGACCCTTAGAACCATCAATTAAGAATAAGAATAGGAGAGACACAAAAACTAAGGGAGACATCACTTCAACTACAATAACAATATGGTATATCACTTGTTCAGCTATCACAACACACTGATATATTTATATATATAAAATAGGAAATGTCTGTCAGAAGCTAAACTAAATATTGCTACAAAACAAAGAAAAAGTGAAGGGTACTTATCGAAAATATGTTACTAATAATAGATACCTGTCTTCTTTGATACTTTTGGTTTCATAACAGTGATTCTTTGACCAAGAGTCCAACAAGTATCTTTCACATTTTTGATTTCTTAGCATCAGAGACAAGTGAATCTTCTCTAGAGAGTGCAAAGGCTCATGCATAATAACCTTGTGTCTCCTAGATCAATCCATAGTTTTTAAGAGGGTTGAAATTGTCATTCAAAAATGGAAAGCGGCGGAACTCGTTGTCTGTTAGCTTCTATTTAGTACTCTCTCCGTTTTAAAATGATTCACGTTTTAGCAAATTAAATTTGTTTTAAAATGAATGTCATTCTCATTTTTCAATGTAAAAATGCTTGCTATTTTTCAAAAATTGTGTCTTTTAATTATTACTTTTTACGCTACTTTCAATACATTTATAAGGTTTATTTATTAAAAGTGCAATATCTTATAACAACATTATTACATTTCTTAATCTGTGTGCAAAAATCTTAAACGACTGTCATTTTAATAAAAAAAAAGTATAATTTTTATGATATAGATAAAAGATATGTGATACTATTATTTACTATTGTAAAATGTTATGTGGAAAAAACAGGAATTAAAGTACTACATAATTTAATCCTCGAACATGCTTGTGATTTCGTTATTGATGTAGAAAAAGTGAGAATTAAAGAGTAAAATATCTAATCTTCGAGCATGCTTGTGGTTTTCTTTATTGTTATGAAAAACAAGAATTAAAGGACAAAAGGATTTAATCCTCGAGCATGCTGCTGAAACGGTAAAGCGACAAACAAAAGTAAGTATTTATTTTAGGGTGATATATGTTATATCGTATTGTCTCCACATGAATTAGTGCTACTGAATTGCCGTTCAACAAGTTTATCGTTAATGAATTTGAGTTAAAATGAGTTTGAAGTAATTGTGGGAATTAAAGTTATTAACAGGAAAATAATTTATTCTTTGGAGAAGAGACTTATCAAGCATGCATATAATCAACTTCTCGCAAACTTAAATCTATCAATCAGTCATATGCACCCTATAAGAGTCATCAATGTGATCACGTATCAAACACAACACTCACTGTATCATCTCGAAGGCGATCTCTCAACCAACCTCAACAACACAGAAGTAAACCGTACTAATTACATTGACGATCTCTCAGCACAACACAATCAACATAAAGACATTAATCATAGACACCGAAGTGAATAATAGCTCTAAATCTATCTATAGAATCTAGACATTATTAAATAATCATCCTAGATAAGAATTAGAGCAATATATGTCTATAACAATCTAAATTCCAAGCACAAAGAAGAAATTCAAGACAATAATCGATAAAGATTTGTAAAGCAAGCTTTATACAACGCCATGGGCGAAAAATATACATGAGTTAAAAGTAAATACATATACAAACCCAACAAATAAAGAATACATAAAGAAGAAGAGAAATGAAACATAAATCTCCCGGTTTATCAGCGCCTATCGATGATCAATCCATCCCGGATCATCCGTATGCAAGCTCCATTGTTGTTTTCTAAGCTAATCTATCAAAAAATGAGGTGATGGAATTGGGAGAACAAAAACACTCACAAAATCATAACCTAATAATGAATGAAATGAAAGTTATAAAATAAATCTCAGCAGATTGCGCTAAGTGCGACTTCTTTATTTTACACATCAAACCGCCTAAAACCGCGCTAAGCAGCCTCAACGCGCTAAGCGGGCTCAAAAACTTCGCTTCTGCCAAATCTGTCCAAACACTCATAGCGCGCTACAGAATCCTCTTAGCCGCCTATCTGAAGAAAACTTCTCAAAAATGGACTTTTATTCTGAAAATGCGCATCTGGAGCCGTGTCTTCGACACCTTATTGCTCAATACTTCAAATGTGCAACAAATACCTACAAAAGAAGTAAAATCTATCCAACGGTACACAAATGAATCAAAAACACAAATATGTACAAACTAAACGCATTTCACAAAAATTGGGTTTATTCAACCGATATTAACAACAAAGAGTCAATAAGTGTAACAAAAAGTATATACAAAAATAGCTACAAACTCTTCTCAACTTGAACTTATTTGTCCTCAAACAAGGCCAAACAAACTTAAAGAACAAAAGTAATCAACCAAAGAATCATGAATCAACATGTTTTAAAAACGAAAACAAATGTATGGTTCAAATAAAAACGCACAAGCAAGGTAAATACTTATCACAATCCTACAACACCAACATGTAAATAAAACGAATCCTAAGTACAAAAATTATACTAAACATTCAAAAACAAAACAAGCATAATCATGAATCACGCCTAGTAAGAATTCATCGATAGATGAAGAACACACAAAGGTGAGGATTTGACAGTCATCCACAATCTGACAAACAATAGACTAAATTATGCATTCATAAAAAAATCATATTGAAAATATAAAGGCACAAATCACAAGGACTTTTCAAGGTTGCAATGTGGTTTGGTTAACAAACAAGGGATAAGTGCTAAAGCTAATCGAAACAAAAACTTGTCTAAACCTAAGGAAATGATCAACTCCCAAAGTTTCAAACATAAAAATTCCAATCAAGCTTCTTCTTTCATCCCAAATTTCACAAATCAATCACAATAATTTTTAACACAACATTATTCCATACTCTTTTTATTTTCCTTTTTCAAAGCTTCTTCAATTTTTTTTTATTTTCTTTTTCTTTTTTTTCTTTTCTATTTGTTTTCTCTTTCAAAACCTCATAGAAATCCACACATGAGCAAACAAATATTGCTTTCTCTAACTTGAATCCAACCAACATTAATGTGAATACTCCATACTTTCTAAGACAAGATAAAAATTCAAACAAAAAACAATGGTTGAAGGTTCAAGAAAACAACGAATCAATGTCCATTCAAAAAGGAAAACCAAACATTCATATACAAGCATTAAGTTAAAAAACAACATGGACATCGACATAAAGGCTCAAAAGAGGTTAACAAGAGTTCACACACTCACAAGGTGAAATAACTATTTGGCTACGTAGTTGTGCTCAAAATCAAACAAAATGACTTGATCACTTTCGTGCTTTCATACAATCAACACAAACAAAAGATTAAACCTAATGAAATCTAGTTAAAACAAGAATTGTGGCCTCCAACATATATGAAAAATAGAAAGCTTCCTCACATTTGGGGGTAAAAAGGGAACTAAAGTGATTCAATCAAAAGCAAACAATGCAAAAATAATGAATGGTATACTTATTATACAAATTATAAGTTTCCTAAACATGTTATGCTATAGAAAGCAATAAACGAGTACCTGACGTGTACCAACTTCAAAAACTATCATTACTATACATCCACAAATTTAATAAATCAAAATCAAAAAATTACCAAATGCGACTTCAAGCTAACGGGCCAAATTGAGTCCAAACAACAACAAAAGAATTAAACAAAAATTATAATACTAATGTTATTTACTACTACAAATCCTTGGTGAAAGTGGAAAAAAGGATGACCAAATGAAAAAAAAAGAGTTAACTGGCGTATCACAACAGAGCGCGCTAAGCAAGCTCTACCGCGCTAAGCGTGTTACACCAGATGCAAAAAAATAGGACAACAAGAGTTGTTCTAGTGCAAGCCTCCACTTGGCACCCACACAATCTCAATTACACAACTAATTAGAATTTACAACACATACACATTTCCTCAAGCTAATAAAAGCAAGCTCTTGGAAAAATTGAGTGAAAGTGAATAAACAAGTTGAAAAGTGAAGATTTGAGAATTTAAAATATTGTCCAATTTCAACTTGTTTAAACAACAATCAACCTACTACCTAAACTAACACAAAGAAAAATAATAAAACATGCTTGTTTTACGTCGTAAGCTCGAAGCCTGTTATTTACAAACCAACACGTTACTTCAGATGGGCCAAATGCTTTCACCCCTGCCTTCGCTCTCATCTCTTCGAGCTCTAACCGAAACTACACATCTAACCACACTTTTGGTAAACGTGAAGAGAAACAAATATAAACGTACACAAGTATAAATATACACAAGTCTCTATTTGCACAATATTCACAATATATACATTATGAGCAAAGCTCAAAAACAAAGAAATTATCACAATGCGGTCCAATAAAAACACCAGTCCCCGGTAACAATGCCACTTTGCTGAAGCGGTAAAGCGACAAACAAAAGTAAGTATTTATTTTAGGGTGATATATGTTATATCGTATATTCTCCACGTGGATTAGTGCTACTGAATTTCTGTTTGATAAGTCTCTCGTTAACGAGTTTGGGTTAAAATGGGTTTGAAGTAATTGCGGGAATTAAAGTTATTAACAGGAAAAAAATTCATTCTTCAGAGAAGAGACTTATCAATCATGTAGATAATCTACTCCTCAAAAACTTAAATTTATTGACCAGTCATACACACCCTACAAGACTCATCAATGTCATCACGTATCAAACACAACACCCATTGTATCATCTCGGAGGAGATCTCTCAATCAACCTCAACAACATAGAAGTCAACTGTGCTAATTGCATTGACGATCTCTTAACATAATACAACCGACACAGAGGCATTAATCACATACACTCAAGTGAATAATAGCTCTAAATATATCACTAGAATCTAGTCATTATTAGATAATCATCCTAGATAAAAATTCAAGCAGTATGTGTCTATAGGAACCCAAACCCCAAGCACGGAGTAAAAATCAAGGACAATAATCAACAAAGATTTGTAAAGAAAGCTTTATACAACGCCATGATCGACAAATATACACGAGTTCAAAGTAAATACATATACAAACCCAAAAAAAATAGAGAATACACAAAGAAGAAGATAAATAAACCATAAATCT